AATACAAGGCACCAGTAAGGGAGAGAACCTCAGTTAAGGAAACACGCTCCATCTTAAGATCCAGGGGACACAGTACTTCTACCGAAGTACATGAGAAAGGTCTGTTTTTATTTGTGCTAGGATAAATAAAAGAAACAACACCTTTATCACATGTGGAATTTGGTGCATAAATGGATTACATTTTGGGAATAATAAGTGCTGACCACACAATGAGTATCTTACATTTTGTCTCTCAGTAGAGAATCCCTTTGCCCAATCATCATTTTAATTTGAAAGATTCAGAAAAATCTGATTAGAAATTAATTTGAATAGTAAAGGCTCTATGAAAATCAAATCATAGCACCAAACATTCCTGACCATCTGTGTTTCAGGCAGCCACTCTTTTTTTTTCAAGCATCTGTACTTATGGGAGACTTCAAAAAGTTCATGGAGCAATGGAATTAAAAGATAATTTTGGTGCAAAAAGATTTTGAAATCTATTCAGTTTTTAAATATTATACACTTTCCATAAATTTTCTGAAGTTCTCGGATATAAGTGATGGCAATTTATGTTTGAGACAGAGATTGCCGTGGTGATGTGGTATGTCAAGAAACAGCTTTTGTATGGCTGCCCCGAAGGATGGATCTCAGCTGCTCGGGATGTCAAAGGCTGTGCGAATATGGAGATAACAAGCTCTATGTGAGTGTCTCTGGCTTCCACATGGCTCAGATCCCCTGCCAGGACAACATATTGAGAGTCTTGACTTTTCATTGCAAAATATTTCTGATAACTCCAGACAGAAATTGCATTTGTTTATTTTTCATTGTTGTCCTGAAAAAGAGCTGGTTGCTTGGAATGGACAGAATTGGTAATCACCACTCCAAATGGCTGGATGCTGTCACTGTGACTCTCAGAAATTTGCTTTATTCTGTATCCCAAATTGGTTTTGATATCCTGCTATGGGATGACAGAAGTTTCCATGCCAGGCCACTGGCTTTAACTCTTGCTTCAGTCTGTGGCCGCCATTCTATCTCCTTTTACTTCAATCCTTTAGCTTTTTCTTCATATTTCTGTTTCTGGTGCCTAGGCAAGGCACAGTGGGCTCATGGGAATGTCAGTGTGCCTGTATAGGTGAGTCATCATCTTGAGACCACAGCCTGCTGCCAAGCCTTGGTGCAGGTACAAGGTTTCCATTCTATTCAAACTTATAACAGACAACATCCTATGCTGTAAATAGAACCTTATGAAGCATTAAACAAAAGAATTGATTTCTAAACTTCTAATCTACATCCCCATGTAGTAATTAAAGATTATTTCCAGTCCTGGAGCACAAAGAAATACTTTGTTTTGCCTTTCTAGTAAAATATACCTATTTTATACACAGATCAATTTACTTGGCCAGATTTTTGGATTTCTTAGAAATTTAGGTCATCAGAGGAAGTGATTTCTTTATACATTAAATCCATCATCAGTTTCGACCATAAGCTCAGGTATATAAAACAGCCTGCTAGTTCCTTTCCCTGTCTCCCTCCAGTTTTTGTCAGGTTTTTCTCTTGTAACTAATGCTATCATGTTTTCTTTTTTCCCCTACAGTGAAAATTGAGAATTCTATTTGAAAAACTTAGCAATAGGTTTGTTCAACATCACTCTTGCCAGGCCTCTGTATGTTTAAAAATCCAGAAGGCAACTGGCATTTGATTTATTTTCTTTGGCTTATCCTGCTTTAACTTTTTTTTTTTTGGTTTATCTGATTTCTCTTTAGTCACCAGTGTGTGTATGTGTACATGTACTGGCTTCCCCCTCCCCGCCCCCACTTCAGGATTTACTGCTTCTTGATGCCCTATACGTAACTGGAGACTGAACTCATTTTTCAATGTGGGACTTGCACATGCCTCAGGGAGTAGTATTTTGGTGACCCCATCCACCCTCTCTGAAGATGTCATTGAGGGCAAAGAGTGTTCCTTGGGGATGGTGACAACATTCCAACAAGGGGTAAACAAGCACACAGAGACCTCATGAGAAGTAAGTACAAATGTGGCCAGGTGCACAGAGCTTGGACTGTTCAGTATGGGAGACCATGGCCCAGGTGAAAGCTCTTCGTGCTTCTGAGCAGGCAGTGACAGTAAGTAGCAGAGTCCAGGGTGAGTTTGAGGGCAAAAAAGAATCTTTGGTCCAATTCAGAAACTTCTTAGCAATGCAAGAATTGCCCACACACTTCTATGAGATACTCTACATAACTCCTCTCCCTAGTGACTAGGTAGCCACAGCCCGGGTTTTTGATACTCTGCATCGCTTTTCAGTTCATTTTCCATCACACTGGTTTATGAAACAGTTTCTTGAAAGGGAAGAAAATGCTATGAGAAGGAGTATTTTATCATGCCCCCCTCTTACTATTGTCCCATTGCCACAGTCTAACCTAGGTTCTCTAGCAGCCAATCTTGACATTGTCTCTTTCCTCAGATTGTTCTAATATGACTCAAGGCAATGGCCTCTGTCTGGAGATAACTTAGAGCAGAATATAAAACTGACAGGATTGTTAAACACTCAGAAATTCAATGTTTTTTGAGGAGTGTGACAGACAGCTTTGAGTCAATTCTTCTAGCAAAAGGAGACATCATCCCTGTACCAGAATGTTCTCCACGTCTATGCACTGTTATTGGTGTCTGACTGTAACAGGGAAGTAAGACGGACAGTGGCTACCCTGCCCTGCCATACAGAGCTAATGAACTTGGCAGAAAAGCCTCCACAGGTTTGATACATAGGAGACTTGAAAACATTGAATCTAGCAACAGACATCTTGAGGGGAAGGAGTATTTCACATTGCTGGAAGGACCCCTGTTGCTTGTCCTGGGCAGAAGCCATAGAATAGCAACACATTACAACAAGACTGACACCAAGAAGTAGAAATAATCTCTGAAAATGCTGAAGCTTTTTAGCTCATTCTAGTGCTTTCCTCTGCCTTTGCCTTCAGAAGAAGATTGAAACGGCTAAAGAGTATTTGTTTCAAGAACAAAAGGTTGACTTTCAAAATTAATATTGTCCCAATGACTCATGCCAGGAGTTTCGGAAAATCAGGAATCACATAAATGTATCCCTGTAATGTAAAAACATCACCAGCGATCTATATAATTCATGATTACGATAAGGCATTCAAAGGGTTGGATTCCCAGTGGGGGAGAATCACATGGTCCAATAAGAATGCACGCAGTTTTATCCACTGTTACATGAAGGTAAAGCAAAGTTTTACTTGGAGTTTGCACCACACTCAGAGATCTTGTAGACTGAAAATGCAGCTGTTGGACAAAAAGGAGGTTTATTCTGGGGATCAGCAGTTATATCTGAAAGAGATAAAGCTCTCTTCCTCAGCAGTTGTAGATGCTGATTTGGCAAGAAACTGCTTTGCATGTGGTCGAATCTGTGCAGTGTCCTCCAGTGCACATAGCAGGGAGCTATGAACGCAGAGATGGTCCATTATTTTCTCATGAAAAGTGATTAACTTGTGCAAAAATAGGAAACAATGTTGAATAATCATGCCAACATGAAAGAGAGATGTCTGCAGAGAAACCAAGAATTGAATACACAAAGAGTTTTGTTAAAAGAAAAGTAACTTTTAAAAGGGAAAAATTAAAGTTCTGTAACATATGCTAAACATTTAAATTCATGACACATTCTCAATTTTGCCCCATTGTTTGTTTTCAGAATCCTGTTTTAAGTTCAAATAGAAAACACATGTATTTGGGCTCTTTTGTGGGAAGAGATGGAATTTTTCTTTTTTTACTATCTATTGTCTAATTTCTCCAATTTTGCAAACAGTGTGTGGAGTAATTTTGAAAGGTCTTTATTTGTGATGTTCAAAATTTTGATCTTTGTTTTAAGCTTTACGGGTAGGCCACTGACTTTTCTTACAGACTTGCATAATTTCATCATAGCATAAGTGTATCTATCAAAAATGTAAAATAGATCACATCTTCAATTGGCAAAATTTGCCATCAAAAGTAACAGTTCAGAATACCAATGCCCACACTAGTATGGTTCTGTACTTAATACATAGGAGGAAGAAAACAACAACAACAAAAAAATAAAACCAAGACTGAGAAAATTGCTTTCTCTGGGTTTAGGGGAAAGACATTTCCTCAGATCTGGTGTACGTCATCAATTTCATTGGAGTTTAAGTGTATTTGAATCCTTGCAGCTATTTTTCCTTCTGACCCACCAGCCCAAATACGGAACATCTAATTCCTTTAGCAGTCTGGAAAGCAAGGGAATCAGAGTAAATTTTCTTAGTTATCTCCCTTCTCCCACAGAGGCACTCCCTATATCTTATTTGTCCTTGGAGGGTTATTGCCTAGCTCAGGGACAGGCACACAGCGGGCACTTGGTCAGTGTAAACAGAAGCCAGGAAGGAGACAACAGTAAACCGAGGCCTATTTTCAATGCGTTTTTAGTCAGTAATACTGCTCAACCGAGGTCAAGCCTGGCCTGCTATCACATGGACACGATGATCTCTAAGTCACCCAGATAACTGAGAAAAGCCCTTTGGCTTTAGCCGTCAATCCAGAGAGCCGCCATAAAGTGGGGACTTTTCGTTTCAAGCCATCCTGTGGATATCTGTCTTTGGAGCAGGACTGCATTAAAAGGTAACTGAGACTGAGAATCTATTTATGTTAAGTGATTTTGAGTCTCAGTAGGTCTCACTCTGGAAGCTGAATTTCAGAAACATAGAGCGCTCTCTCCAAAACCTCTCCAAATTAACTGATAAATTCAGGGCTGGCATTCAGAATCCAATTCATTGGGATTCCATGAATTTGAAGAGTCAATCTAGAAATACTACTTCATTGACAAGTTACAAAATAAGAGTACCCTATGATAAAGAATCCGATTTTTAAAATGCTGCTGGTTCTTCAGAGAACAGAGAGTTCTCAGGGAAAATACAGATCACAGGTTCAAAGGTTACAAAAAGTGTGCAGTGGAATCAGAGCATGTGTTCAAGTCTGCAAATACATTGATGGTAACTTCTTACCTTGAATACATTGATAGGGAGATCAATAACCACGTAGATAAGGTCTCCGAGGGCAAGGCTGGCTATCAGCGCGTTGGGGCCGTTCCTCATGCACTTGTTCTGGTAAATGATCCTGAGCAGAGTTGCATTCCCCACCATTCCCACGATGAAAATAGTACAAGATATCACCGTGTTAATGTATTTGAAAGCTGAAGTAATTTTAGTCTGCTGCGGGCAGTAGCTGTGCCTTGACCCATTGCTGGGCAGGACTAAATTAGTGGGTCGGTGAGTGGTAACCAGGAGGTTGAGCTCTGTCCCATGATAAGTAGTGAAATCATCCATGTTATGGCTTAGGTTTGTGCTGTGTCTCTCAGGATTATCACTGCTCACACATCCGACCAGTACCAGCCATAAGGATGCCCTAAAGCAAAAGGTTTCCATCTTAGGAAATCTGAGGAAATGTCTCCCACTGTGTTGCTTTTACACCTTCACTTTCTTTTTTCTCACCTGGAAAAAGCAAAGAGGAAAAACAATTTTTTACAAACATCACCTGCCAGAAAAATCAGTGAGTATTTATAGCTTTAATTAAAACAGAGGAAATATTTGATAATTTGATAAAGCATGCTATGTAGTCTAACTGATGCCAAAACCAAAACAGAAAAGATAAAAGTTCTATTATGGAAAGCTACAGGTGGTTGTCATTTGCACCTCCATTAGTATGTCTAATATCCCTGTGATAGACTCCCACTGTCGCTCCCTCTTTCTTATACATCCGTGTTATCTCCGCTGCATCCCTCCCATCTCCATCTCCAGCTCTATTTCTTTTGCTATCATCTCTAGTTCTTCTCCAGCTCAGTTCTCTTTATAGCTGAACCGATAGCTAGTTCATCATATGGACAGGGTATGTTAATGTTTTCTTCAAGTATAGTTTTTGGTTCTCTATCCTGCTCTGTAAAAGTCTTCTGTCTGATATAAATAAATTTAAAAAAAACCTTATATGCTAAGCAGAAGTTGCACAGGATTGAAGCATAACACAAAATTGCCAAATTCTGAGTTTAGAAATTCAGTGTTTCGTGATCTGTGCTGCTTTAATCGCGGTGATTGAACATGGGAGTAAAATGCAGCAGAGGGGCTTGGCATTTCATTCTGCAGGTAAAACACATCTTTGGATGCCTGCATGTCATTTCACAGTGCCTGGGTTTGAATCCCATCTCTGCCTTAAGTCTAGCCTCTTGCTACTATGCACCTGGAAACATGGCATTCCTGCCACCTACATGAGTGAGTTTTGAGCTCCTGGCTTCAGCCTGGTCCAACTGCAGCTGTTGGCAGGCATTTGAGGAGTGAATCAACATACAACGATTTTTATTTTTGTGTTTATGCCTTTGGAATAAGTAATAATGAAAAATAAATGCAGCACAGCCATCCATCCAGAGTGTTATAAAATACTAATTTAAAGTCAAAACTCTGGCAGTCACCATCAACTGCACTGAACAATCTGTTTCAGCTAAGATGATATAATTGACAATATATTTTAAAAACCTTGATAATTTATGTGTAAAATCTACTTCTCCTAATGGGCATTCTTGTGTATTTTGCTTTTTTGTTTGTTTGTTTCTAACAGTTTTTGTTGTTATTGTTGTTTTATGTTCCTCAAAAATTATCACCAGATGAGTAAAATAGGAATGATGGGCTTGTTAAGTCTTTTTATACTACCTGGCTTTTCCAGGTATATCAGACTGTAGGTCATTTTTTAAACAGCCTACATACAGCTACATTTATTATGTGTCAATCGGTTCTGAGTACTTCTAATTCGTAAACTGATCCTGGGAAGGAGGATGGGACTTCAAGAAGTTAACATAAAAATTAATCACAAGATAAGCTTATTTTTATGCAACATAGTTTTAGAAGTCACTCATGTGCTTTTTCAGGTCATGTATTTCCCACAAACTTTTTGAAGATCCCTTCTAGAAGAAAACTGTGGCTCTGGCAGGTGAAGTGGCTTCCCAAGACCACAGGTGGTGGTTGTCAACACTCTGATTTCAGGGCAGGTCAGCTTGACTGCACAGCCAAGCTCTTAACCACCAGACCGTCCTGTCTCTCATTCTTGTGCCTTATTTGTACCTAAGATGTTTTTCAAGAGTATCCAGCATTTAGATGAAGCAACAGCCGTGGGAGAGTAGTTAAACATTTTTAAGAGACCATCTGGTATATTTCATTTTTTGTTTTTTAAAAGTACTTGCAGGAATCAGCAAGTGGTCCTATTTGTCTGCAAAGTCTATGTTCTTCTTTTAGTCCTTATAGAAAAGACATTGGGAAAAAGGGAGGTTGGGGGGTAAAAACCAAAGGTAAATAAAAACAGCTCCACTCATTTTGATACTTTGTATATTTCTTCTTCCAGTGGGACTCTAAGACCCTTCTGGATGAAGACCTCACTTATGCCATGTTGTGTGTATGCATCTGTAACAAAATGTGTGGGTTGTAATTCGGTTGTTAAAAATTGTATCCTATTCCTAAGTCTATGAAAAGTCAGGCATTTTAAAACTTACCTTGGGACATCAGGAAAGCCTAAGTTTAATAAATAGGTAGATAAAAGAAGATTTGTTTGAGCTGTACAGGAGACACAAGGTAAATAAAAAGTACAAACTGCATATCTTTTTTCTTTCAAGAGCTGTCTTCTCCTTCAGAACTAGTAATAGTAACAGCGTTTAAAGACAGTAACATATTATATACATATCTCTTTTCTATCCTGAGCATCACAATTCCAGGCAGAAGGAGTGGTATCACCTTTTTACTCAAGGGAAAGGGGAGTCTTAAGTAAACTGACAAGGAGGTGGCCGGACAGTTCTTAAGTAAGGACCTCACTTAACTTATGGGACTTGACTCAATCTGATTCAGAAATTTAAAAATATATATAATATTTGCAAAGGTACAAGCATGTCGTGCACCCATCAATTTTGACTGGGCTTAATTGCAGATAGTTTGTAGTTTTTCCGTACGTCTTAATGTCAAGAGTGTCTGACCAGATAATGACAAAATGCCACCATTTTCATCCCAACATGGAGACCAGGACCCCAAGGGCAAAGCTTAGTGCTCTTCTCTTGAGAGCCCAAAAGTGGGAGAAAAGAAATGTTTCACTCTCTTATGCTATTTAGTGACTAACACCACTGGGTTTCTCAATCGGAATGGAACCTTACTAATAGTTTTCTGGAAAAAAAAAAAAGAATGAAGAGAAGGCCTTTTTGAGAAATGGAATGGCTTTTTGCCCATTAGTCAGCCACGAGGCTGTTTGGTGAGCTGACCCGTCTGTTGTGGGTACCATGTCAGGACCAAGGTTCCTGTGCTGCTTTCAGCATGAGCATGGTGGCTTGTGTGGTCAGCTGATCACAGCAGGAGCAAAGAAGGCCAAGGCCGTGGGTTCTCATCTTGCTGTGTTCCAACTGCCATTAAATATCAGAAATCATTACCCATGGCAACTGTGCTCTCCACTCCACACAGTTTAAGCTGCAAAACTATGGAACACACGGGAAAGATGTGTGGATACCGTGTTATCATTGAAGAATGCATGCAAAACCAAGTGAGAGAACCCTCTCAAATATGTGTTGCCCTAAGGACCGGGTTGTCACTGGCGCCTGTGGATCAGTCCAGCCATGTTTACAGCCGTGGGTCACAGCTGCAGTGAGCGGCTCAGATTCAGACCTGAAGGACATGGTCTGTAGAGTCACTGTCCTTATCTGAGAGTCTACAGCTTTGCCAGAATGCAAAAGCTGTTATTAAAGGAAGAGAGACTGAATCCTTTGGAATACAATTCTACCATTTAGCATATTGGATCTCTAGGCTCAAAGCAAACCTGGAATTAGTAATTTGGAAATTCCAAACTTAGTAAATGACATGAGCTGGGAGTGGGTAATTTACATAAAACAATTGTCAAGGTGTTTCTCAGTTACCTAATAGTTAAAACAAAATAGGTGTGTGTGTGTGTGTGTGTGTGTGTGTGTGTGTGTGTGTGTGTGTGTGTGTGTGATTCAAACGAACGTAAAAAAAAAAGCAATAAACACAAGTTTTCTGTAGTTTTGTTCTTTGGGAAAGAAATTAGCAACTCCTCTTAGTGACAAGGCTTGACTGTTGATTAGATTATGCGTGGCAGCCCCAGCTCCATCAGGGGACATTCATAGGGACATTCAAAAGGGGCTTATGATTTAGACATAGTCCTTGGGTTTGCACGTGAAAGGCAACAAGTGCCCTTTAAAGGAATGCACAGAACAAACGCCCAGCCTCCATCCTCGCCCCCTCCCCCCCGCCGCCCCCGGTAGGTTTCCAAAGCCCATGGCCCTGGAGGGAGCTTTTCCAAAGGACCTGAGTCCCACACACCGACCAGTGCCCCTGGCTCCCCTTGGCTTAACCCGGGGTGTGCGAGCAACGGAGAAGCCAGCTGGTAAGCAAAGACTGGAGCCGACTTCACCCGCAGACTGCAGCAAGCGACAGGGCGGGACGGTTCTCAAAGTTTTCGCACGTCCCGGCCAGGGGACTTCAGGGAAAACCTTGGGCTGCCTTTGACTAGATTCGAGTCCCGCTTGGGGAGGTGAGATGCTTTCAGTCTGCTCCCAGCACCCCAAAGTGTGCAGAGGGGGCGCCCTTGGGCAGGTGGGTGCAGCCACCCGCACGGTCGGTCCCCCAGCTCCTGGTTCCTCCCCACCCAGGGGTCCGGACGGCGACTCCCCACACGCCGCCCCAGTCCCAGTCTCCATAGGAAAGACTCGCACCCACCGTGCTGCTGTTCGGCGGCGGCACACCGCAGCCGGTCTGAGCGGCGCCGGGGTGGGGAGGCAGATGGAACCAGCGAGGGTGCGCGCCGCGGGAGAGTGGCCGGTGTCCCGGGCTCCGGCACGGCGGCGGCCCCAGCTGCACAGCCTCCTGGACTTCGGCACACTTCCCTGGCAGGGCACGGCTTCACTGGGGGAGGTCCTACCGAGCCTGCAGCCTCCAGCGACGACCGGGTGGGTCCGAGGGAGCGTCTCCAACTCCTCTCTGCCAGCCAGACCCGAGTGATGAGCGTCGGCGCGCTAGGGCTTCGCCAAGTAAAAGGCAGCCGCGCAGGAACACGCCTCCCGCCCGGCCTCCGCGTCCCTCCCAGGCTCCCAGACCTTCTGCTGCGCCCTGGGACTCAACCTTCCAGCCCTCCCTGGAAGCGGCCAGTGCAGACACACAGCTGCAGCCCTCTTCCAAGACCCTGATGGGTCGCGGTCTTTTAACTCTTTCCTTCCCGAAATGCAGGGGGTGGGGGGCGGGGAGAAGGAAGGGATCAGAAGGGAGGGTAGTTTAACAGATGTGAGTAGTCCCCCTGAGGGAACCCTGCAGAATCACTTAGCTCCTGATCAGTGGATGCCAGCGAATGTGACCTGAGCAACCGGACCCAGAACCAGGACCTCCTCAGAGCCAAGTCCCAGGGTACTGTGTCTTGCTTCCCTCACCCATTCGTTTGGCATGTGGGCTCCCTGTTAAGCTCATAGCAAGTTAGGGAGCCTAGCGGACAGCACGTTTTATCGGATCAGATAGGGGTAAGTTCCTGGTCTGACCCTTGAAGTGGCGACCCTAAGTTCGGTGTCCCAGAGTGTGTAGTCCAGGGATTCTTTAACAAACCCACACAAGGAGGTGCAGGCCCTGCAAAAGAAGGT